ACTTGCTGTGATTTATCTCTATACTCTCAAGTTCACAAAAAGATTAAAAGTTAGAAGAAAAGGATAAATTGCTAAATAGGAAGTTATGAGGGCACTTACATACAAAGAGCCAGTTCTGCATGAGCAAACACTCTAAATTCTCCTTCGAACTAATCGTTCATAAATACCAGCTTTAAAAGGCGCCTTCAAAATATTGTTAGTTTTCAAAGTAGACCTTTTGCGAGGCCGGCGTTTTTTTTTTTTCTTGCTCTGATTATTGATTTTTTTCCACTTAAAAAAGGTATTTAATGTCTGTAAAGTTTATCATAAATATACACATCCCTAAGTTTTGTCTCTTAAGGTTTAAAAGACGCCGACTTGAAAAATAAAACATTTTTCAATCGAACGAAATTGAATCTATATTATTTAGTATACGAAAGAAGAGTATGAAATAAAAACGCCTTTAAAAACGATTGATAAACAAGATAGAGCTATGAATAAATTATGAATAAATTTGTATTTCTTAACGGAAAATTATTGATGAAGAGTGAATTTTGACATTTCAAAATCGTAGTGAAAAAACTTCCCAAAATTTTGTTTAACTCGTTGAAAAAGAGCGGAAAAAAATTAAAGTTTCAAAGTTGAATATTTTGATAACTTTTACTCTTGAAACCATGGTTTTAATTTATCTTAGAAACATTTGCACACTCTATATACAAAAAGCGAATGATTTTGGGAGAATATATTTGACGTATTCATGATATATTTGTTTTGCAACATTACTTGATCAGCGACTATTGCTACTATAAATCAAGACAAATTTATCACATTTTTAAAGAATTTTTAAACCATTAAAAACGCTGTTGTTAAATCGAATGAACGGTATTTATTCATAAAAATATAACTGTGAATCGAGTTTATAAACTGTCTTAAAAATACGGTTGAAAAATGAAATATTGGGTTTTTTTTAACTTACCTCCATTTTGGATTGCTATTTCATGTGCTCGGAGCTCGTACGGTTCTGACGAGCTTCGTTTACTACAACAAATACAGAACAGTGTTACCATTCTTTAGTTAACATCCAGTTTACCGCATTGGCAATTGTGGTGGTGCTTTTACGAGTCAGAAAAAGAATAAGTGTTGAACCTGTGCGAATTGTCAGGCGATAGTCGCACCTGCCGGGCTAACTAATCACTAGACGATTTTAATATTCATGAGTATATCGACCCCAGACGTGTGCTTAAAAATATGTATATACACACACCCCACACGCCAAGGAAAGTTTCCTACCATAAGGAAAAAAGCTAATAGCCCGTTAATATTAGGTGAAATATTTACAATGAAAACTGGTTTCCATACAAGTTTGGCCCAGTTTTTCCCCCACACACTAACACTTTATTCTATTCTATAAAAATATAATATACACACACCCTACACACCAAGGAAAGTTTCTCACCATAAAAAAAGTTAACAGTCTGTTTATAGTGGGAGAAAAATTTGCCATGAAAACCGGTTTTTATACGAGTTTGGCCCAGTTTTTCCCACACACACTAACACTTTATTCTATTATATAAAAATATAATATACACACACCCTACACACCAAGGAAAGTTTCTCACCATAAAAAAAGTTAATACTCCGTTTATAGTGGGTGAAACATTTACGAGTTTGGCCCAGTTTTTCCCACGCACAGTAACACTACATTCTATACGCGTAAACAACTCTCTCTTATGTTGATTTTTTAGGGATGGATACAAACCAGATAACCTGGGAAAAGCTTAAACCCTCGTGCCAAGAGAGAGAGATCAAAAGAACTCTATTCGCATATGGCGTCCACAGGAATCGAATATTCGCAACCGCCAATCCGCAGGACTCGGTGGTAAAAGACGATCATTTTACCGTCACGCCAGCGTTTCCAAAAGAAATTTTTAAAATTATCATATCCAAGTTCTTTTTTGTCAGTGTTTTATTTTACTTTATTGTACGTGACTTACCTTCAAGGCCCTTAATGCAAGTTACTGAAGATTTTATTCCCCTTTAGTTGGCTTTGCTTATTCCGTCCAAATCAAATTTATATCATCGATAATACGAGCAACTCTGGTTTGGCTACGAATTCGAAAACAATTTGAGATTGTTTTCCTTTCATTAATTTAACTTTAGAAACACATTTTCGGTTTTCATGTTGGCACTCATGCGTGTGCAGAAGAGGTCCTTTTTACCTTGGCTTACTTCGTCAAATGCCGCTCGCGTTTCACTAATGCACCCCGTTTCGTTTACAGGTCGAGATTTTATAACTAATTATATTTCACCGACAATTCTTGTGAAGAGATGCCGGCACACACCAAGGACTTACCCTATTAAGGATCGGCGACTGCCTTTGCTCATTTCTTCTGTTAGTTCACGAATTAATAGAACCTTTTTGGGCGATATTTTTTTCTATATAATTGGTAACAAGAGCTCACCAGATAAATCTAACTTACTAATGCGTAATCATTTCCGGGCTACTAGTCTATCAGCCACAAAAATAGCGCCAAAACAAACACTGGAAAAGAATATGCAAAGTAAAAATTCAAGGAATGGTTTTTGAAAATGAAAAATACAGAATATTGTAATTGATGGATTTTTGAAAATGAAAAATAAAATGCTTTAATATTGCTTGAATTTTCGACTAGCATGACGTTGAAATTTTGAGCCGTTTGAAAGGGGAGCTTTAGATGTCATTCTTGATATGTTCCTTCAAACAAAGAAAGGTTTTATTGGTTTTTTAACAAAGCGAAAGAAACACTTATTAGAAGACAGTAGTTCACTTTTTGTGCACTGGTTAATGCATTTTCAAAATGTAATTACACTAATTAATAAAGCTATATCCCATCCCCTATATAGCATGCCGCATGAAAATATTTGTTTCTAAGCAAAATTATACATTATATATTCTTCAAATCGATCCCACCCCACTTCTAATTTTCATCAAATATTTTTATGCTAAGCACTTGGTTTACAAATTTTGATTATTTCCTGAGTCTCACACAGCAGTTGTTATCTTTCCCATCTCACTTCCCATTCGTTTCTTCTTCATTATTCCATCCCATTCTCATTTTCCGGTATGCTACAATACTTGGTTTACTAGTGTGTAGTTTACGCTTCTCTTGATCTAATRTCTTGTTGCATTAATGGCCATACTTAATACCGTGTTTCTTTAATGGCCTAATTCTCATAGCGATATCTATTCTGCTTTGTGCTGTCAAAAACGTGAGTCGTCTTATATATCTCGCTGATTTTTCAAAAGGAAATTAAGATAACATCTCTTCAGAATGGCGAACAGTTTTGTAGCTACCTAAACTTTTATATCATGATTGATTCTTTCATTTTCGAATCGTGGACGAAATTTTCAGTTAGAAAACTGTGAAAGTGTTAAAGAAAACCGTGTTCCAAGCAGTGACTTGCCATTTTTTTACAGCGAAATTATTTGTATCGTAAATATTTGTTTTTCAAATTATTTAGTTGATTTTTTTTCTATTCCGTTTGTCACTTGAGAGAGAGGTTTATGCAAATACCCTACGATAATGTGTTGCAAAACAGAATGAACGTTAATCTGACTGAACGATAAATGCGTAAATGCCATCTAAAAACTGGAGAAAATGTAAAAACATAATATAGATGTTCCGTACATTTACTCTATTCGTACTACTCCAAATTCGACTCAGTGAAGCTTCGTTGACGTCATTCAAGCAAACTAAGCAAATAATTCGAGAACGATCTACTATTTCCGTCGTAGAACTGTAGCATATCAGTTAACTGTTTTTGTATGAGTGACAAACGCTCGATACTGCGACGTCAGCGTTTTTAAAAGCCTCCTTTTCATATGTTTTTGCGTTTTCAAATGTATGCGTTTTCCATAAGGCGCTTGGTCGTCGAACTTCACATGAGAATTGAAACAATGATAACCTAAGTGAAACAATGGATATCAAGGCGGTCTTCTTTGATGTCATTAGGTTCGGCTCATGTGAAGTTCGACGTTTGACACGAGCCTTARCTATTGTGGACGCAAGGAAAAAGCGAATCGAAAAGTATACGGTAGTATGGACGTAGCCATACAGCACGTACATAGTATTGCATATATCGTAACATTGAAATGGTTTTCTATTGTTTACTTGGCGAATCATCCTATTCAAACGTAGTTAGGTAGTACAATACATTACGGCTTTTAGTACGACTACGAATAAGCATACTACAGTGGTAAAAAGTCTGTTAAAAATTATATTTCCCTGAGGTGTTTTCTTGTACCACGTGATAGTTCCTGGCCAATCCGTTCAAAAATGATCACGTGGTGCAGAAAAATCAATTATGTGGTAAGGGTTTGTGGGTTTTGTTTTAACATCTACTGAGAAAACAAAGATGCATTATCATTTCTTTAATGCGTGTTATTATTCCAGTCTTGTTAATTCGATTAGTAGTTAGATGATGATCCATAAGAAATGAGGCGTCTAAGGAATGATTTAACGACCAAATGACTGTTTTGGTTGTCTCCCGGCGAGATTTAAAGAAATATTTTAGCAGACGATAATAGGAACGCTAATTTGGAAAACATTTTTGGGAAATGACAAGAAATAAATGTTGAATACCACTAGATTCATACTCCTACGCAAGTAATTCTTTTTGGGATTCCTGTGGTACGATTTCTCGTTTGGATCCTGGGTCTAGGAGATGGAGACCAGTCTCCCTGATTTTTGCTCGATCCACAGGGTTCCCGTGTTAATCAGTGAAGGCGATTACTAGGTTGTCCTTTTGTTACTAGTACAAAAATAGCCCTCTTCAGCATGGGCGCAATGTTTTCCCGCTTAAAACTACGTGTCAAGATCACTTTCTAAAGCGATTGTTCTTCTATTGATTATTTGTCGTTATTCGCTTGGCCCGTATTGACACGCGTGGTACATCTGAAGTTGGGAAATTGGTAGGTCTAAACTGTAAGTCCTATACAACTATTATTACATTATTTTATGCATTGAATGACTGCAAAAGAGTTGAACATATTTAATGAGTTTATTTGAATTTTCACGTTTATATTAAAGTAAATATTTGAACAAAACAAGAGATTTTCCTCTCCCACGAGATGTGTGCGAATATATCGTTTGTGCAGCAAACCAATACCATAATGACATAATATACGCTTGAAAAAGTGATAAAACCATTCAAAATAAACGTTGAATATAGCACTTATTTTTACAATATTAAAATTAAAAATTAACAGGATTAATAGCTTTAATGTGTTTTTATATTTTGTCTTGATAATTATTATATTAATGTTATTGCAATTTTTTTTCTGTTACTCCAGAGTTCTCACAAGTCACGTGCGCTCTTTTTGTAAAAAGCGCGGAAAAGAGAACTGGAAGTTACAATGAAACCGGAAGTTAACCTATAACGGAAGTAATAGTTCAGTTCGTCGTAAAATTGCATGAATAATTCACGAAAAACAATATAAATACCAAGTATTTACACATAGTTCGTTTAAAATATTTGATATTGTGATTATCATTGTCGTATTAAAACTACACCTTTGAGACATTCTGTTGTTGAATTTCCTTCTGCATTTGAGCCAACATTGCTTGCATTCGCTTTAACTGGAAACAAAATAAAAGAATCATTTTTTCAGCGATTCGCGAACTACCTCGAGAAGTTAGAGAAATAGGCCTCCTCGGCTCTGGAGCACTTGAGCGTAATGTTGTCCCATTCCAGACCACGTGTCATTCCCTTGAGAATAATAGTCTTTGTTTGAGTTATATCCATATTAATGTGTCTTCTAGCTCATGTGCAACCGAGCGCATAACCTTAAATAAACAAAGTAATGATACTCTAGGGAATGACACGTGGTTTGAAATGGGAAAACATTACGTCAGAGCCGAAGAGGTCTATTCTATATTGTTCCACGTGAAGATAACAGAGAAGCTATTTGAGATGCTCGCTAGATTCACTGAAGGACTGCTGTAGATTTGGTGAGAACTTTCGCGCCAACTACGCGCGCTTCCTCCCCAGTTTATATATATCACTGGAGTCGTCGCTACGCCAATAATTAATGTACACATGCATGCCATGTACGAAAGCATGACATTGTTACTAAATACTGAATACTGTATTGTGACTTGTTCATACGATGTAATAATACTAGTATCACTTACTTCAAGTTCTTTCTCCCTCAGCATTTTGTCCTTCTCAGACATGGTAGCGTCAATTGAATCGTATGTGCCACTCTTTCGTTTCCTGTTATATATTTGAAGATAGTCATTCATATTCATACAAATCAATAACTTAGAATTTCTAAAAAACATTTTTGAGATCCTGGCGAAAAATTGTAAAGTAAACAGACAGACAGACAGACAGATAGACAG